GAAGTGGAATTCAACTGTGAAAAACCTGATATACAATGTAACGAATGACTATGAGATGAAAATGCAAATTTCAGAATCTCTTCACATATTTAACAGTGTTTGACAACAAGAGCAGATCTATCCTGTGAATTTTATGAAATTTAGCACCTTCCTAACCAGAGCCCACTCCCCTGCCATTTCCAAAAGACCTCTAAGGGGATGGTGCCACCAACAGTTTTAACTTACATGGTTTCAAATGACCATTTCTCGTACATTTTATTCTTGACAACACTGACTTTCCCCATTACATTCAATAATTTATTTCCTAATATTACTTTCTATTTTTATGACACCTGCTTTGTACTCTTTCCTCCTTATTGTAATAAAGCCAACAACACTATTTCATATCCTAGTATTTTCAAATTCCTTTTCACATGAGCAACAAGCTTTTTTTATTGCATAAATTAAAATTCTCATATTATTTTAAAAAATGACCACAAATCTCAGACCCACACACCCAACAAAATATAGTTCATACAATTCAGGATTTACTTTATTGGGAGCACTTACTTCTGTCTGCAGAGAGCTGCTGGCTGCCAAAAGAAGTTCGATGCTGCTAGGAGGGCAATGTGTCAAAGCAAAAGCCATGAGCTCTTGCCGAGTGGCCAAGTCCTGGTAACCTTCTGATTGTCCCAACTGGCTACAAACATCCCAACTTTTAGAATAACCTGCAAAAATGGCAAGAAAAAACAAACTGAGTTTCACAAGGACAAAAATTTTCCATCTAACATGAGAAATGCAGTGGCTTTCTGCTTAGATCTCCTGTTACCAAAGCAGAATCAGTCATTTGTGATGCATATTATTATATAAGCAGAAACACATAAGGATCTAAAGAAGAAAAGGAAGATTAGGTGGGTTTATTATCCAGAAAGTTCAGCACTACTCCAGACAAGTTTTTCTGATAAACTCAGTTAAATTTTAGATTACCTGACAATGACTACAAATAACCTACTGAGCTTTGATGTTCAGTAAAAAGCTGGATATCTTCGATGATGACATAAAGAAATGGAAAGATATCCCATGCACGAGGATTGGAAGAATAAACATAGTGAAAATGTCTATATTACCTAAAGCAATCTACAGATTCAATGCAATCCCAATCAGAATCCCAATGACA